CTTGTACGTATTAAAAACAAATTTCATACGTGTCCCCATTTCCAAATACATGTGGGAACAAGTATAAATAATTTTCTTTGGGAAATTATAACACGGTGCTAGCACTGTCCCTATGTATTTGACTATGATTTGATTCAATTAGATTCATTTGATTCAACTCAAGCATTTCACTTTCAATTAACTTCAAAAGGCTTTATTTGCCTTTCATTCGATTCATAATACATTGTTTGAATGTGTTTGACTTTCATCCAACTCAATTAGCTTTGTCGAATGCATTTGACTTTCATTTTATTCTAAAATATGTTTGAATGGGTTTGACTTTCATTTGATTCAATTAGCTCTGTTTGTTAGGTGTTTGACATTCATTTGATTCAACTAGCTTTGTTCAATAAATTTGACTTACATTTAATTTAAAAAGGTTTGTTTTAATGCATTTTACTTTCATCAAATTCAAGGAACATGTGCACAATAGCTCATTAATTAGATTCAATTAGCTTTGTTGAATGAATTTCATTTTTATTTGATTAAAATAACTTAATTGAATGTGTTTGTTTTTCATTTGATTCAATTAGCTTTGTTGACGACAATTGACTTTCATTTGATTCAAAAATATTTATTTCAATTAGTTTGACTTTAATTTGATTCATAAAGCATTGTTTTAATGTGTTTGACTTTCATTTGACTTATAATGCATTGTTTGAATGTGTTTGACTTTTATTTTATTCATAATGCATTGTTTGAATGTGTTTGACTTTTATTTGACTCAATTAGATATTGTTAAATGCATTTGACTTTCACTTTATTCAAAAATTATATTTGAATGAGTTTGACATTCATTTGATTCAATTAGCTCTGTTGAGTGCAATTGACTTTCATTTGACTTAATTAGCTTTTGTTAAGTGTATTTGACTTTCATTTGATTCAAATAGGTTTGTTTTGTTTGGAATGTGTTTGACTTTCGTATGAGTTTATTAGATATTGTTAAATGCATTTGCCTTTCACTTTATTCAAAAAGCTTTGTTTGAATGTGTTTGTAATTTATTTCTTTAAATTGTAATATATAAATCAACATCTAAATTGACTTTAATGTGATTAAATTACCTTGGTTGAGTACAATTGACATTCATTTGATTCGGCACACAATAATTATTTCCCAAACAAAACATAATTTAATCCTTAAGAAACATGCACTATGTGTCATTGGGCCTTTAACTAAATGCCAACACAGTTATTATTGTACATTGGTGTCTTTAGTGAGCCTGGGCCTAGATTATCTCTTTGGGCTGCTTCCTTTGCTAAATTATCTCTTACCAAATGCCCACCAACTCAAAACAAAACCATAAATTTGTCATTATAAATTTCGTCATATCAATAATTACATTGAACCGTAACATAAGAAAATAATAAAAGTACCAAAATTTAATGAAAAAAAATCAGATAAATATAACATCTTACAAATTTAACTACATTAATAACTTAGATGTTGATTAATATATTACGTAATTTTTTTTAAATGATAAATATAACACCTTACAAATTTAACTACAATAATAACTTAAATGTTGATTAATATATAACAATTTATTTTAAATAAATCAGATAAATATAATACCTTACAAATTTATCTACAAACTTAATTTAGATGTTGATTTATACAAATGAAGAAAGTAAATTTAGATGCCCTTCTTCCCAAATCAACCGAATTACAATATTAAATTTACTATAACACAAAAAATATATGTTATTGAAAGTCAAGCTAAATTTGCATGTTGATTTATACAAATGAAGAAAGTAAATATACAAAGGGAATATGCCTCCTTCTTGCTTAATCATATTCTGCCATTTGTGGGGTAATTACATGTCTCCAAACTTGCATTCATTAATGAAGAGTTTGTTTGACTAACAGAAGAATATGGTTGATGGAAGCATTGAAATCCAACAACGTTGTGGGCATGTGCCGTGAAGTCCAACAAGGCGTAGGCTTGCACATGCTGGATGCTTAGTCATTGCAATTATATCTAATCAGCTGCTGGAAATGACAATTACATCCTCAACTAATGAAGGTGAAATACCTTAAATACCCTTAAATTGACAAAGTTTGTCAATCATGAAGATAAACTTGGAATTCCTCCTATATCTTTACTGACTAATATAAGAATCATACGGAGTAATAAACTTTGATTACCATACAATAATTATGAATTTGATCTTAGATATAATCATGATCACTTTGTAATTCTACTAAAAGGTATCTTTACAGTTAAAAATAAAGACCACTCTTGGTCGGAAGTCCACAATATTATGAACAACCGTAATCTTGGAAAAGAAAAAAAAACAAGGTAAAAAAAAATAAAAATAATGTAGCTACATATAACACTATTTCGAAGACATTATATTATTAGAGGCAGAAAAGACTAGCAATTGTTTTTCGGCAGGGACAACGATGATGACCAATAATCGGTGAGCTAATGCATCGAACAACATCAAGAAACACATCCTCATCACAAGGGATTCACAATCTTAACTTGGTGGGAGAGTCATCGTGCTTGTCTCGTGCCAAATCGAGTAAGGCTACAAAACAAGGGTGTTTGAGCAACTCTAAATTTATTATCATTCTCTTCATGTTATCTCCTACGTATACTACCATATGACCCTTTGGGACGTCTTTTGGTACGTTGTCGACGAGGCTAATCTCCGGCACTCTTTCATATTTGATAGTCTTGTTTGAAGAGTACGACGGAAAGAAATGATCAATGGATCATGTGATGAAAGGCTTAATCTTTTTTTTCCATGTTTCTCCACTTGTTTAACATTGCCCTTGTGATTTTCAAGCTCAATTTATTCATGGTTGATGAGAAAATTTTAAATTATTTTATATTAGTGTGTTTTAGAGAGTGAAGAGAGAAATGTTGAGATGAAAGATAGAAAGGAGGATTTATATAGTGATGCATATGATAGTGTTTCTAGAAGATAATCCATCTTTATTACTTTTGTTCTATCTTCCTTTTTTGGCGGGAAGAAAGGAGGAAACCCCAATTAATCAATTTGATAAACAGAATTTGTTTATCAAATGACAAAATGGTAAAACATAAATACCTTTTGTCATCATGGCATTTTGGTAAATATATCAACAACAGTTGAACCCACATTTAATAAAAAATTGTTAATTTATTTACAATTTTTCCATTTGATAAACAAATTTTGTTTATCATATTGATAAACATGAATTTTCTTGGAAGAAATAGGCTTTTGAGCATTTAGTATTAATCAATAAATTATAAATAAATGTGCCTTGCTGACTAGTTGACTACTTAAGAACAATCTAAGCTCAATTATTTAAGTGATGTTACTGCACTTTTTTTTTAAAAATTAATATATTAGTGTCCATGCTTCATTTATAAGGCTGCAAACGATCCGGGGCCGAGCTGAGTTTTAGTCTGTTCGAGCTAAGCTTGATAAGAAATATTCGTGCTCGAATAATCCCGAGCTTGAACGAGCTCTTAAAAATCTTGTTCGACCTGGCCTCGTTAAGAATTTGGCTTGTTCGAGCTTTGTTCACGAACGTACTCGTTTGCATTTCGAGTTTAAGTTCGAGCTTGATCGGATCTAAATCGGGCTTGATAAAATAAACGAGCCTTAATTTATCTTTAAAAAATTGTTTCTTTTAAATTTTAATATATACATCCATTTAATTTTATATAAAATTTTTATTTTCTTTCTATAGAAAAAGGTAATGACGAAGGTTTTCATGCTTTTACATGATGAAATAATTAGTACTTTTTACAAATATGTATGAATAAAAGATATATAAATTTTTCAAATTTTAATTAGGCGTTAAAAAAACTTATAAATTGACTTAAGCAAGTTGTTTATGAACATGACCGAGTCGAACATGATGCTGTTCGATCTTTGTTCATCTATTTGACGAGCTTAAGATTTTTGTTCAAGCTTGTTTGTTAGATTAACAAACGAGTTTTGACCAAGCTTTGACCGAGCTTGTTCACGAGTATGTAGTTCAAAAAAATATCAGCTCATTTACACCCTATTCATTTAGCATCCAAAAACATATTCCCTGTTTTATTTATCTTTACCTGCTTTAATTTATTTAGCATTTACTAGCCATTTTGTAACTTCGGCCATCTTTTTATATTTTAGTTAAGAAAAGTTGAGGCATTCCAAATGCAGTCTCGTTAGGTACGAATAAATGTAGTTTAAGGGGCTAGAAAGTCATTTTACATGGATTTTGCTCAGCTGAGTGGAATTCCACCTCAGCTCCCGTTCTACTTTATGTCAGCCTGTTTTGAGTGTATTTCGGTATTTTATCACGTATTTGGTAGTGTTTGGTGTATTGTATTCGTACTTTTGCTTCTGATTTCCCAAAAATTACCTCTCTCCTCTTTTATTCACTCCTCTCTCTCTATCTCCCTCACTCCTATCGTTCTCTCTCTTCTCTGCTCTCTCCTCGCTCCTCTCGCTCTGTCATTCCCTCCTCTCACTCAGCATCTCTGGCTTATAGCTTTGCCGGAATTCGCAAGCTTGTTAAGGTGAATCTCGTCGGTGAAGACTTGCCGCAGCTAAAGGCGCTAAATTAAGTAAGTAAATTTTTTTTTGTGTAGTAGCTGATTGAGTTCATTGAGTTCGAATATTATGGTCTAATTGAAGTTGGGGTTTGTTCAATTTCAATTAAGGGTTGAATTAGGATTTTTTCAATGTTATTGGGTTTTATGGGAATCATCTTATTAGTCGCAAAATGAGTTAGAGCTCGTATAAACACTAGTAGAATAAACTTAATGGCAAGCGGTTCAAACCCCCTAATGGGAAGCGGTTTTGAACCGCATGCTCTTAGGAGGCTTGCAATTGGCATTTTAAATGGCAAGCGGTTCAGAACCGCTTGCTATTTGAAGGTAATGGCAAGCGGTTTGGGTTCCAAATCGCTGCCCATTACACTTATAATAATAAAAAAAAATTAAGTTTTTTTTTGTTTTTTTTTTTCAATTAAATTGATACACAAGAACTTAACATATGTATAAACATAACTATTTTCATTAATCAATTTCTTCAATATTACATTTTCTGATCCTTAAAAAAAATACAATACATTAATTAATAAATAACTTAATTTTCTGATTTTCTGCTCTTGTTACAGTTCCACCACCAGCATGCAAACCACCAGCCACGCGCGCCACCTATCACCGCCACCACCTTGACCCGTATCACCACCACCAACACCCTATCCCGATTCACCCGTATCTACCAAACAAGCACAAACTTATGAAAAAAAATTGCGCTAATCCAAACAACAAAACTCGAAAATTAGCTAAAATTTCATATTTAAACTTAAATTAAAAATAAACAACAACATTCTCAGATCTTAAATTAAAAACAACAAAAGTTTTGCAAAATTAGGATGAATTAGATCTAAACTTCCAAAACTCAAAAATTAGCTACAAAATTCAACAAAATACCGGAAATTAAAGCGAGACTGACATGAGAAGCAGCGTAATACCCAAACGCCAAGTCGGAAGATCTGAACCTTACCGCCTTCTTCTCGTCGCCGGTCGCTCGTCGAAGGTTGCTGGTCACTCGTAGCTGTTGTGGTGAGGCGTGAGAAAGGACAGAAGGGAGGTTGAGAGAAGAAAGACAAGGAGATGGAGGGGAAGGGAAAGAGATAAGTGAGGCGTAATGGAGGAAGAGAGGAGAGAGAGCGTAAGAAGTTTAGAGGAGAGAGATAGGAGAACCGTGAAAATGAGGGGAGAGAGAGGATGGGTTTCTAATTTGTAAGGGTTTTTTTTTTAACCAATGGCAAGCGTTTCAATGCTCAAACCGCTTGCCATTTACATTTTGGCTAGCGGTTCATCCAAAACTGCTTGCCATTTGCATTTTGGCAAGCGGTTCATCCAAAATCGCTTTCCATTTATATTTTGGCAAGCGGAATTCAAAAACCGCTTGCCATTTGTGGCTGCCCATCAAGTTTATTCTACTAGTGAAAGATTGTGTATTTGATGTTCCTATATTTACGAAATGAGTTAGGGCTCGTTTAAAGATTGTGTATTTGATGTTCATGTATTTTGCATTTTTTGTTTAGTAATTGTGTATTGTTTGAAACCATAAATTGAAGGTTGTAAGGAGGGGGTTCCCATCGTAAGGGGTCCTCTCCTTCAATGCCCATGGCCATTTAAAATCCAAGGACTTTACAATTGTTAAGGTGTAGTAGGATTTGAATTCCTGACTGTTTGGGAGACCTTGAATTAGAATTGATTCTATCCCATTACGCTTTTTTGTAAGAAGTAAGTAGGGAGTCGCAATTGAGTGTTAGGAAAACTAATAAACCTCATTCATGCCTTTCTTCCATGTGGAGTTCATGGAATAATTATCACCAATCATAAGTTTAACCATGCCCAAATTGGTCTATAAACCAGAAATGAGTTCGAGAGCGAAGGTACTAAAAAAATGTTCCCTTTAGAGGGGAATCATTATCCTAGCCCTAGTGCGGCCTCTATTAGCTCTTCCGTATTTTACAATTTCATCACCAAACAATATATGCAACACGATACATAAAACTATGTTAGTTGATTTTATTTACAAGAATTAATCACGTAGGAATTACATCGTAATGTCGTTATTCTTATTTAATCAAATTCGTGAAAAGGACAAGAAAATAAACAATATTCGCCTTTGCTTAAGTGATCAACCAACAATTATTTAATTCAATTCTAATCTTTATTTAATGCAAGATACTATGTGGAATTGATTAATTATTTATTTTAAAGGTGATCAAACAACACTAATTAATTAAGGTTCTTTTAAACAAGAAAATAAATGTGATTTAACTAAGTGCTCGGGAATTTACCACTTCTCCTTGCTAGCTAGATCTCCGTTCAGAATACTTAAGGATTCCTTCTGGCTCCGAAACCTCCACCGTAGTAAAAAAATATCAAAAGGGGTGAGTGTTTAGGACAAGGGGGGCTAGGTTGCACAAGTTCACAAGTATTTCGCCAGAGTTTTAGGTTATTTTCTGTCTGTTTAAGCCTTGATTTAAGCTCTTATTTATTGGAAATGATTAGGTTTAGGGTTACGAGCATTCTGAGCAGGTGTCGCGCTTAACAGGATGAGTTGCGCGCGACATCCCAGTGCAAGTGATTAGGCTGCGCTGCTATGGGCAGCGCAACTAATTGTCTTGCGGGCGGCTTTATGGTAAGATTCGATTTTATATTTTCCGTATAATTTTGAATCTTCCACAGTGCAACTCTGAAGGTTGCGCTGGGTGTCGCGCGTAACTGAATTAGTTGCGCGCGACAGCCTAGCGCGACTGTTTCAGATGCGCGCGGTTTTTCTGCGGCAGCACTAAGATTTAACCAGGCGCTCCTAAATCCGTCTTTATTGGGTTTTAAGCACGGGCTTAAACCTAATTATGATCGTGTTTAGTTAATTGGACCTTTGTTTTCGCTTTTATATTTAATTTGGGCTAGTCTTTTGTGTTTTGCGGTTTAACCAATTCTCCATAAGTATTCTTCACTTTGACCAAACACAAAGATGGTTTTATTTATCGTCATTGCACTTCCTGTCGGGACTGGAGGCCAAAAGTAGATGTCTACAGTTAGCCCCCACTATGATCGAGTCTAGAATAGAAGATGATCAAAGTTGTCAAGGAAATAAATCTGAGACTCATTCTGCGAAGTTCTCTAAGGATAGAGAATCTTTTAGTAATGTTTAAGGATGTCGAAACAATCCTAGCTTGGTTCGCTAAGTGTTTGAAACAAGTAGCTATTAAGGCTAGAAAAAGTTTTTCCTAGTCTTAATGCGCTAAAGAATCTAGATTGATCCTTTGCAATTTTAGAACGCTTTTACAAGTAAAGGTGTTCTGGGTGATGTCAAGTCATGAGAAGAGATCGGTTTTAAAAGGATAAAAGGGGAAGAGTTCCTCCCAATCGTGTCATCGTTGGTCTAAAGTCCCTCGATATGTCATTGAAACTTTAGCTTGACTTTAACAAAGTAAAAAAGATGAAAAGGGATTTTCGGTATTCGAGCCGAAATGATCCTATATTCGAGCCGGATGTCCACAAGATAGAAATACATGTGTCAGGACTGGAGGCATATATCCAAATCCAGTGAGAGGGAAGAAAGTCAACAACTTTCTCAGCAGTTTTGTCCACAAGATGAGTACACGTGTCTCAGGACTGGGGGCACGTGACTACGTAGGCGCGATATTGTCTTGTAGCTTCTTTATACATAGGATGATTTCGACACCCTAACTGTCTGGTAAGTTAGTAAGCACACTAACTACCGTATTTGCTCCCATTCAAGAAGTGCCTGTTCCTGATGGTTCGGCGCGCCTGTTGACTCGTGAGCTAACGCCTACAATAATTCTCTACCTTTTAGTCCCGAGAGGTAGATCTCGCAAAGCTTGGGCTGAAGTGAAATTTTACGCAACACCTACGTCGTACAATTTTGCGCCGTACGATACGCCATTTGCATTTTTACGTTGCATGAAAACGCCATCCTTTTTGCTTCGGATGTGAATAAAGAAGAAAACCTGGACAATTGTAACGTCAGTACAATAAAATGACAAACCTGTCTATGGGTTCTTTTACGTAAAGCACCACCACGGAACGTCTTAAGGTACTCTTACAAAAATCGTTCAATATATGCTTGGGGAAGGCACAAAGCACGATGTTCATGCAAAAATGATGCAAAAACTAACAAAGAAGAAAAAAAACTACAATATGCAAAGCAATTTAAAAATTTTTTGAAAATTTGCGCGCCATTACGTCTAATCACGAGCAAAAACCGTTAAAAATGATCCAACTGATCAAAATCAAGATTCCGGTCATTTTAGTGACCATTATCCGTGCGCAACTCAGTGGGTCGTGCAGCCAGGCGCGCGCATTGTTCTGAGTTGCGCTGGTACGTCACGCGCAACAGATTCAGTTGCGCGCGACATTTATGTCAGTAAAGTGAAATCGATGAGCGCGATTTTCACTTCACTCTTTATTTCTCCTTCCTTCGCCATTTTCGCCTCTTTCTCTCTCTAGGAAGCTCGGATTTTTGCGATTTTCAAAGCTAAAGGAAGCAAATTTCGTCCTTAATTCATATTTTCCGTAATGGAATGTAAGTTTTTTGCTAGAATTTGTTCTTTTCTGGCTGAATTTGAATGGTTTTCGATCGTTGAACCACAAGTTTTGAATTTGGGGGTTTTCGATTCAGTCCATTATTCTTGAAATTATTTTTTCTATGTTGTCATGCTATGTTTAAAGAGTATTTTGCAACAAATTTCATGAAAATTGGTTAAGTATTGAACCTTGTATGAGCATATCTTTGTTCAAGTTCGTTCTTGCTCTTTTCCTTTGAATTTTGCTTGATTTTAATCTTGCTCATTTTTTGTTATAATCGCTGATTATGAAGTAGATTATAGCTATGGAACCAATATTACTTTCATAATTCATTTTCACAAATTTTGAATTGTTGGTAAATGGCGCGAAAAATACTCTTAGCTTATTCTTGCCATGTTCAAACTTCAAAATTGTTTTATAGACGATAACCATGTTTATATTACTGTTATTCTTCTAGAATTAGTTGATTCTTTGAGATTTTTAAAATGCAATCCCTTGAATACTTAGTTGAAAATGGTATAGGATGGCTTTTGTGGGTGTTAGAAGCCCCCATTTACAGAGTTTAACTGCAGGTATCGTAGCCCCCAAGTATGGATGGCATTCGATTTCGTGTTTTGCCCTTTTGACAGTGTTTATGCTGCCGAAGCGGGTCTAGAATACATATATTAGTTTAGTTTAGGAAATAAAGTAAACTAATTAAAGAAACTTTATCCATCATAGCATAGACTTGCCTCCATTTATCGATGCAGAGGAGATTCTCGGTGGTCCGGACGAGGCAGCTTGCCCTCGGAAGAGGGTGACCCGTCGTCGAGGGGAGGTTCGAGAGCGACGCGTTGCGGCCGATCGACGTCGCTAGGACCCTAGGGTCCTTAAGTGGGACCCAGACCATCATGTGGTTTGGGAGGCTCCTCCCAACTACGACCCTAGGGTGCTTAAGTAGGACCCAGACCATCATGTTTCGACCAGAGGGTGGCGCGGCATCGTGAGTTTTTCGCGCCTTTGTTTCTTTCTCTTTTCCTTTGTTTCTCCTTTTTAAACCATAACTGTTTATTTTTATTTTTATTCTTTTATTTAAAGTGAGCCTAGCATGCGTTTATACGGATCTGGTGACCTGCAAGCCCATTTTGAAAGTTTTCCCAAGGTGGCAAAGGAGATTGCAGCACTTTTTAGGATTGACTCCTAACTAGCGGCTCTTTAGGATTTATCGAGTCAGCCTGCATCGTCAGCTTTCCTCCGTGGATTGTTGGAGTTTTGGTGGGATTCCACCAACACTTTCCACTTTCCTGGGGAGAGATGACGGTTACCCCTTTCGATTTCTCTATGATTACGAGTTTTCATTTTGGAGGCGAGCCCGTAGTCATAGAGTTCGTTAAGGGGTCAGACGAGAGACTACGCGACCTTGTGGAGGACTTTCTTGCGTCGGCCTTTCACATGTATGCGTAGTCTTGTCCGTACTCGGTTCTTGCCGACGAGTTGTCGGCTGACGAGCTTGATCGACATTGTACACTTGAGAAGCTGGCTCGGATATACATTGCTCACGTTCTTTCCGTCACCATCTTGAGTGATAGAGAAGAGCGTTTCACCATTGGGTTACTTATTTGCCTCAGCGATTTGGGGCAAGTAGGTGACCTGAGTTGGGCGGAGGTGTCGTATATGCGTATGCTTACAGCTATGGGCAAGGCGACCCGGGTGATGGATTCTGCGGAATTTACTAAGGTGCCTCGGATCTCCCTTACGTGGCATGGTCGTATCCTTGAGGTACATGTTTTAAGCTTCTTTCGGTTATTTCTTTCGCTTTTTCCTTTAGGCTTATCTTTTCTCGGTTTCAGGCTTGGGGATGCTCGTACCTGCCTTTCTTATCCCCCAGGGTGCTTGGGGCTGCTCGTTTTCCTATCGGCCATCGATTGTCGCGATTAAGAAGTGACGAGTTACTTCTGCCGGCGACTTTCGCCAGAGGATCCTTTCCACGACTCGTGCGTCGGTGAGTATTCCAACTACATGTGCATTTTTTTATTTTGTTTATTTTCTGACGATTTTTCATGTGGTTGTGTTTTATAGATCGATCTCCGTCCTTGGAGTTTGATTGTTGGAGACCCTGAGATTATCCGATCTGGCATGATTTATTGTCGTTTCCGGGCCCTCTATCCGGGACTCTCTGTGCTTTAGAGGACAGACGCTTGGTTTTTGGGCGAGCGTATTCTCTGGCAGCTTTCGCCCGAGGAGCCTTTGGTTCCGACTGATCCTCGGATCCGGATGTTACGTCTGGATTTGATGTGTACCGAGGATCAAGCTCAGGCCATCCTTGGTTATCCAGCGGAGCAGCTGGTGCTGCTGGAGGTTTCTTATCCGGCTTTTATAGCATCCAGGCTGACTCCTTTTCCGTCTTTTGTTCCGGTTAGTACTCTAACTCTCTCTTTTCTTTCTTTCTATTTATTTTTCGGAACTTTAACCCTTTTATCATTTTTTGTCATGTATATTTTAGCGGGTCTAGCTAGGTGGTTGGGTGCCTCTTACATCGGAGATCACATATACCGATGCTGTCAGATCGGTAATTCGTGAGACCCTTCCAGCAGCGGAGGATGATGAGGGGATACCGTTTGGACCTTAGACGGTTGAGTCGGTATGTCTTTTGTGTGTATGTACTTAAACATTTCTATTTATGTTTTATTTCATATACATTTGTTTACTAACTGTCCTTGTATTCTTGGAACAGGATCCGCAGGAAACCGTAAACGGCATGGTGAGGACTTTACGTGCTTTCCAAGCTGCTTATCAGAGAGCCCTCGTGAGTTTATCATGCCGTGATCATCGGATGATCACGGTAAGTTTTCTTTCTTTTCTTTTCAACGAAGTTATTAAATTTCATATATTGATCTTCGTTTTGGATTTTGCAGGATGTGCAACAACCGTCTAGTAGTCGACATGCACCTTGATTTCTTTTGTACACATATTGTTATTTTTAGGAAACAGATGTATATATATATATATATATATATATATATATATATATATTTTTTGCATTGTTGTACATATGACACATTTGTATATATGTCATTATTATTATCTATATTGTTTCCATGTGTACATTATTATTATTTTTATTAGCAAAAAACAATTTTCGAGGGAGGGAAAGGGTTCCCGACTTATCCCCTCAAAAAAATAACCAAAACTCGAAAAAAAGAAGGTGAAAAGAAAACAAAAAAGAAGGAAAAAGAGAAAAAAGAAAATAAGAAAATAATAAAAAAGAAAATAAGGAAGTAGGAAAATAATAAAAAAAAAAAAGAAAAAGAAAATAAAAAGAAACTAAGAAAGTAGGCAAGAAAAGGGACACAAAGGGTTAAAAGGCAAGCGTATGATTTGTCTTAAGATTTCCTGAAGATTTTGTCATTATGTGAGCCAAAATACGGAAATAAATCCAACTGTTGGTGAACTATCCTTTAAGCTAAATTTGCCGAAATTTTTTCCCTCTTGGGTTTATTTAAATGTGGTTTCGTATAGGCTTTTGATCATTTTGCATTTATTCGCTTAATAATATAAGAAACTAAAAAGAATTAATCTCTCTAAATTCTCATTCTCTTTTTTTTTTTTGAACAATGGTGAAGAACTTTGAACAACGTTTGAAGCAATGTGACACTTCCCTTTTAATCGAGGACAAACTAGCTTTCAAATTTTACCATCTAGATCCTCTATTGAATTATATGCAACTAGTGGTTAACTTTGATTTTCTTCATGCCACCGTAAGGAGGGTAATCCCATCGTAAGGGGTACTCTCCTTAAATGCCCTTGGCCACTTAAAATCCTAGGACTTTACACTTATTAAGGTGTAGTAGGATTTGAATTCCTGACTGTTTGGGGGACCTTGGATTAGAATTGATTCTATCATCACGCTTTTTTATAAGAAACAAGTAGGAGTCGCCAATGAGTTTTAGGAAAAACTCATCAACCTCGTTCATGTCTTTCTTCCATGTGGAGTTCATGGAATATATAGCACAAACTATAAGTTTAGCCATGCCCAAATTGGTCTATAAACCAGAAATGAGTTCGGGAGCGAGGGTACTAAGATAACATTCCTTTAGAGGGGAATTGTCATCCTAGCCCTAGTACGACCTCTACTAGCTCTTCCTTATTCACAATTTCATCACCAAACAATATATGCAACGCGATACCTAAAACTATGTTAGTTGATTTTGTTGGGGTTTAGAAAGTCCAACTTACCGCATAAACAACCCCGACCCAATGAACCACTCACAATTAATAAAACCATAAAGCATAACAAATAAACATAAAAGGATAAAATCAGAATTTACCTTTGATGCGTGCTTCGCCCTCAAAGTCGGGCTCTTACTTGAAAGATTTAGCCCCGCTCACACCAGATCCTCCAAATAAAATCCACCCGCAAAAACTACTTGCAACTTTAAGGTCTGTTACCTCGAGGTTAGTGAGGTCCGACCAAATGCCGAGTATTATGTGAGTTTAAGAGTTTTTGCTAATGCAATGCTCTATTGAACTTCTACTCAAGCACTCTTCCCAAATACCCAAGATGGGTATTTATAGGTGTTTAGGGTAATTTTACCCCGCCACGTGATCCAATTAGAGGACGACACGTGTCAGCCCCCCAGAATGGCCCAATGTGGACCTATCCCTGCTTGACACGTGTCACTCCTGAAACCTGGGAGGAATGGTGGCCTTCAGGCCAAAATTCTGAGAAAGCCGCAATGCGGCGTAACCCCAATGATTAGGGTTCAATGACCTAATAAGGGGCACAAATCCCAAGGACCCTATAAATAGGGAGATTCCCTTCTTTTGGGGAGCACGTTTTTACATTCTACCATTTTATTACAATCTGTCACTGTGATACAGACATCCGAGCTTGGAATCCGAGCAGAGACCCACCTAAATTTCTGCACCTCTTTCTCCCCCTTCAAGTTAGTAACTTGTGCGTTAGAGGCGGAACACCAACCAACCGGTGTCTCCATTTGTTTTGCAGGTACAGCTCACGCCGGGATCAGTCTTCGTGTTGTAACTCTTCTGAGGGACAAAAACACCCAAAACATTTGGCGCCGTTTATGGGGAGAGTACCTCGAAGATGGTTCAAGAGTTTGTACCCCCTAACCGTCTAGGCGATGACCCAGAAGTTTTTACAGACCAAGAGGATGAATATCCCCAAGTCAAAACCTTTACAGCCGATGATGGCTCTCTCAGAATCAAGCGCATTTGGCCAGAGACACTCTAGAGCGGGGTGCCTCCCAGGCGTTTACAAGTCGACCCCCTGGGCAGCCGGAAGGGGAAACCCATATGGCAGCTTGATCAGCACCTGTCACCCGAGACGAACTCATGAGATTCATGGAAAGTTTCAAGGGTGAAATTAAAGAACTGATCAGTCAGAGTCGGGCTGGCCCAAGTAGCGGTCAGACGGCCAAGAAGACTCCTCTGGAAAAGGGGAAATCAGTCAAAGATCGGCATCCAACTCCTCATCCAAAGGAGAAGGCATCCGGGACCATTGATTGGTCCAAAATTCTTCTTCCTAAGAGGAATACCAATAATACCCGTCGGACTCAACAGCCGGTGGGAAGTAAAAAATCATCTCTTGATGCTCGGGAAATCATCAACCGGAAGAGAAATCAGCAGCTGTCTGAGTCGGCTTCCACGTCGAACTTTTCTGACAGCTTCAACAACACCTCTGCAGGGAATGAATTCTCCCTGCATGAGAGTCAGACAGTTAGAAATACCGTCCATTTTGGCCCACAGATGATTGGAATTGTACCGTATGTACCTACTCAGGTCTACGGTCAGTATCCCCCTCACTTCATGTAGCTGGCTCTCTACGGAGGTCAGGCGGCATATCAAAATGTCCAGCCACTGGACTGGCAGCTCCGTCTACTTCGTCTGGGTGAACAACCTTCTGCGTTCACCCGGGAGATAACCGAGGCGGCACAGCCGGCCAAGGTTAAGAATGTATTGGTAGGTACCTATGATGGTACCACCAACCCGGAAGATCACATCATGGCATACACCAACCTCATGTACTTACAGGGGTTCGATGATGCCACTTGGTGTCGATGCTTCCCGGCTACATTGAAGGGCATTGCCCAACAATGGTTTGGCAACTTGCCAGCCGGTCCATTGACAATTTCAGGAAGCTCGCCTTCCCGTTTGCTTCCAACTTCTCAATGAACATCCCTGCTAAGAAAACAAGTCTTGACTTGAGCACCGTTAAGCAGGGAAAGAGAGAAAGGTTGCGCTCCTATGCCAAGCGGTTCAATCTGATCAGAATTTAGATTCAAGGACTGTCTGATGAGGTAGCTTTTACAGACTTTTTTAAGGTCTGAGAGACGGGTCGACCTTTAAGTTCGACCTAGTCGAAAAAGGGGCCTTCACTTTACAGGCGGCCCTGAGAGAGGCGGAAAGATATATTCAAGCAACCGACCACTGTCGCTTGGTAACAAGTCAGACTCTAAGAAGTCTGACAAGCAGAAAGACAGCTGGCCAGCTCAGTCGGACAAAAATAAAGAAGAGAGCAAGAAAAGAAAAGAAATATGGGCGGTTAATGACTCTGACCAGCCGTCCCAAAAGAAGAAGAAATAATTTAAACCGTACGTCCCAAAGTACGAGTTTAACAAGGACTTCAACTCCATCCTCATGGAGATTAAGGACCGGCTGTTCCTAGAGAAGCCGAATCCAATGAAAAGTTTCATTCAATCAAGGAACAAAAATAAAATTTTCCAATACCATGAGGAAGTCGGCCATGACACCAACGACTGCTTCAGCCTTCAACGGGCGTTGGACCGTCTGGCTGAAAAGGGAATGCTGAAGTCCTACATTTCTAAGTCCCCAGCCGGGGAAAAGAAGAAGAATAAGGGTCAGTCCTCTAAGACTACCCCCCAGCCTGCTAGTAGCTCGGATACCGACAAGGAGCCGGTCTACACAATAGCAGGTGGGTTCTCATGTGGTGGCCCTACCATCCGGGGCACCAAGAGCCATCTTCGAAAGATGGACAAAGATGATGATGAGCAGGCGTCTGCAAGCTCCTCCTTCCTAGACGTCTTGATCACAGAGAAGGACAGGGGCAGCGTCCGCCGTCTGCATGATGACCTGGTCGTCATTGAATGTAAGGTTGCCAAACAGCTGGTTAGACGGATCCTTATTGACACCGGCAGCTCATCAAACATCATCAGCCTCCGGTGTCTGCAAAAGCTGAAATACAATGTCAGCAGCATGCATCCGGTCACCCATCCCCTGGTTGGTTTTGGTGGTGGGATGGTCTACCCAGCCGGAAGAATTGACTTACCCAACCGGCTGGGAGAGAAAGGCCAGGGACGACATATTGTCGTGAGATTCTTGGTCGTTGAGGAGTTGACCGCCTACAACATTATCCTTGGACGACCAACTCTCAATGAAGAAAAGGCGGTGATCATCCCGTCTCTCATGCTCATCAAGTATGAGAGGGATGACGGCTCTGTTGGTTCCTCGAATGGGGATTAGAAGATGGCCCGGGAGTGCTATCTCTCAGCCGTCAAAGATACTGTGGCCCCAGGCGGCCAGGAACCAATAGACCTTGACAATGTCAAGGATGCCAAGACATTACTACCCCACCAGCAGTCAGAAAGAAAAGAAAAAGACCCAAAATATTTGGCGCAGTCGGAAAGAAGACGACCTTCGTCACTGATTTGGGGTTATTCTGTTATAATGTGATGCCGTTTGATTTGAAAAATGCGCCTGCCACTTTTCAACGGATGATTAATACGGTCTTCATTAATAAAATTGGGAGAAATGTGGAGGCGTATATTGATGACCTGATAGTTAAATCCAAGCAGCAGGTGGATCACCTAGCTGATCTCCGAGAAACATTCACCACCCTCAGGCGGCATAAGGTCATGTTAAATCCCAAGAAATGCGTCTTTGGTGTTGAGACTGGGAAGTTTCTCGGATTCTTGATTGATTAAAGGGGGATAGAGGCTAACCCCGAAAAGATACA